TCAAGTGGACAAACCAAAGTATTGGGCCTCCAACAAAAAGGCTAATGTTAAGAATCAATGGACCCACTAATATTACCATCCAACTCAATAACTTGGGTCATCCATGATTGTTAGGTCACGAGCAACATTAAATCAATTAAGTTGCTCTTAGTGGCCCTAAGTTGTTTTTTGGTCGAGCCATCACTAAGGTGTATATATAAATTATCCAAAATCGGTTTAACATCATCACCCGGGATTTATTGGGTATCAAAACCCAATAGGGTGTTTCTATATTTTTCATTGTGTATACATTGTGCCTGTGGTCAAAGCAAGCTATCTCGTGTCACCTCTGTGTGTTATTCAGTAGTTCGTAGTGCTGGGCTACTGGGTTTAATTGGCTTGGGTTGTTTGTTTAATTGGGCTTGTTGGCTGTTGGTTTAATTGGTAGTTGGCTATTTTTTTTAATTGGGTTTGGGCACTTGGCTCTTTGATTTAATTTCTTTAACCGGTTTGTTTGATTGGGCATAATTTATTTAGTTGTCATGTGATTAATTTATTAGCTGGACTATACACTATTTCATAGCGTCAACTAAAAAGAGTGACTCCGTTTGCATTCTCTTTACTGGCAAGAACTTCTCTTCATGGGCATTTTACTTTCTGTTATTGATCGAAGGAAAAAGATGATTTTTGGGGACATATTAATGGAAGTCTTTTGCGTCCTGATCAAGGGAAAGACAAGGAGAAGTATCTTGCCCAAGGATTCTCGAATTATGGTTTGGATAAATGGATCTGCTGATGCCGAGATTGTTCTTAATATGAGGCCTTACAAGTCAAATTGTTCTATGTGTGAGTATTTGAAGAAAATCTACATTCAAAGCAACAATGCTCAGCATCGAACAACCCACTTTCGTTTGTTTAATTATTATTTTTCTTCAGGAATAAAGAAAGGCTGTATCTAGCAAGAACTACAAGTTTTTAGTTTTTCGCTCTACTTCTCCTTCAGATATTATTTTATGTTCTTCAGAACTTAGTAATCATAGGCAATTGTTGTTCTTACAAATATATAGTCAGAGCATTGACTATAATCCATATTCTGATTATTAGAGGTTGTTAAAGAATAACCCAAATTCCATTTTGTATTTATGGATTTGTTGAAAGTCTAAGAGGTCAAAATATGGACTAAAGGAGTTTTGTGGCAGAGATTGGGTGCCTAGTCCAGGCGCCTAGGCGGCAACCGGGTTGAAATATTGGTTTTGGAATAGAAATTTAGCACTTTGGTGCCATTTGGAGCATATGCCACTCGCTTGCTTTAGGGTTGGGCGGGGAGCTTGAGAGTTATCCTAGGCACAAACCTGGCCACTGGAGCGGCCATGTTATCAGGGCAAATTTTGTTCGCGATTTTTTACATTTTTTTTGATACTCTTTCTACCTAAAACATATTATTTTGGATTGTATAAAGACTCCACATGATTTTGGCTTTGTATAACATTTTAGACGAGTTAGCGTAAAGTTGCTTTTTTGGCTACGATTTTCGTCTGGCGGAAGCACTCTGCTCCCTATTCATCATAATATGCCTCCAGTGGTCACTATTCACGTTTCTAAAGATGGGTGTGGATAGTTGCTCCCTCATCGTAGTCAGCATCTGTGATCGGCTATCAGTTCATCATAGTCGGGCCTCACGTTTCAAGGATCGTCTGAGGGTGGTTCTCTCTTTACTGGCTTGTATAAATTACGTCTGTGGTCGGAGCAAGCTGTCTCACATTGCTTCTATGAGTTATTAGTAGTTCGTAGTGTTGGCTGTTGACTTGGGCTGTTTGTTTAAATGGGCTTGTTTAATTAGACTTGTTGGCTGTTTGTTTAATTAGGCTTGGGCAATTGGCAATTTGATTTAATTTGTTGGGCTGGTTTTTCCGATTGGGCAGAATTTATTTAGTTGGGTTGTGATTAATTTATTGGTTAGACTGTACACAGTTTCATAATGTCAACTAAAAAAAGGGACTCAATTTGTATTCACTTTACTGGAAAGAACTACTTTTCATGGGCATTTTACTTTCAGTTATTGATTCAAGGGAAAGACGATTTGTGGGAACAAATTGGATTCTCGAATTATGGCTTGGATAATTGGATTTGCTGATGCACTGATTGTTTTTAATCTCAAGCCTTACAAGTCAGCTCGTTGTATGTGGGAGTACTTGAAGAAAATCCACACTCAAAGCAACAATCTTCTGTGGCTTCTTTTGTTGGAGTTTGAATTGGCAAAAAATTTCCCAAGATTCTCACTCCATTGAAGAATATTGTAAACGTGTTCTTTTTTCTTGTAGTAGATGCTACGTGATGTGCATGTATACATTTGAAGTCTATATGATGTGCTTATTGCTTGTAGGAAATGCTAGCAAACCATTATGCTCAAACTAAATTAAGTTGTTTGAGAACCATATTGTACTCATTTTAACTGCACTTGCTATTCAGACTTTATTTCCTCAACTATGCAAATCAATTTTGAGTTTGCTCTCTCCTTTTTTCCTCACTATTTTTTTTATCAACATTCAATGATAACTTAAATCTCGAACTGAAAACAATGATGCTGTGTTTCTTTCAGATCAGAATTCCCACGTCTGAACTATGGTGGGTTCTATACTGTGGTTTTGGAGAAAGATGCTATCGTGATGTCTGTAGCATCCATCAGGTAAACTACAATGTATGATTTGTATACGTTTCTTCAATATACTGTCTTTGTGTACCTTTCAATCGTGCTATCATCTCCCATCTTAAAGTTTGCTAAGGAAACTGTAGCATTCTTACATCTATTATCACATACTTCTTGTTGATTCCTCGTTGTGGGTGTTAAAAGAAACATTCTAAGTTGTTTCAGTCCCAAAAGTTCTAAAGCCCATATTGACAACTTCAATTTAGTATAGTATGATGGATCTCGTTTTTATAAATCTTATTTTCTTCTGTGGCAATTAGGAAGCCCTTCAACATTCTTGTTTAATTTTATACAAGCACAAGGTGTTTGAAGGAGAAAATATTACTGAAACTTCAAGACGAGTAGTCTTAGGCACCGTTTGGTAACTATTATTCTAGAAAAAAATGTATTCTTTGTGTCAAATCACACCTTTTTTGTGGTTGAAAATGAAGGAAAAGTTATTGATGTGATGNTTCATTTTGAAACCATATAGCAGTTTAATTTTTATTTATTTTTATTCTATGGACATCTTTTTTTTTTTAACTATAGATTTTATCTACTCTGTCTCTTCAATTATTATTTGTCCTTTCATGCTATCCCAGTAATTCTTCAATATTTGTTTAATTCGTTAATTGTGCTGCTTTTCATTACATGTAACTTTGCAATATTTTTTATAATGTGATATTTGACCTTGATGCAGAATCCATGGAGTTAATGTAGCAGAGCTTCCTTTAGTTGCAACATCCAGTAATTACCGTCGAAAGGGACTGTGTCGGCTCCTTATTGATTCTATAGAAGAGGTGATTTATCATCACCATTCATAATGCAATGAGATTGAGAAGCATTCATTCTCCACTTTGATTGTTTACTAATTTTTCATGTTGTGTGCACATGTCTAACAAAATAGTGGTTGCTGGCCTATATTTTTGTAACAAATATCCAACGAATAAACTAAAAACTTGAAGCTTGACTGAATTGGAATGAAGCAAATTGCAAATGTTCCTGGAATTCAGAAAAGGAAATTGGAGATGTCTGGTTCAAAACAGATAACAAATATGATAGCATGGAGTTGAGCTTCTCAAGGGCATTCACCTTTTGATTAGAAAGATTTTTTTGGTTGGAAAATCTCTCTCATATTGTGGGTTTCTTAGGTAATTGTATATCTCAGATCTATGTAATTTGGACTGTTTCTTAGTGTTGGTGAATTACCAAGAGTGATGTTTCACGATTTTTTCAAGCTTTAGGGGAAAATCTTTTGTTCAGATTGTATTTCGTTAAATGTAAAGGTATATTTTCCCAATCAACTGAGGGAATTTCCCAGAATTTTCGCATATTATTTTTTACATTTCGTTTGTGTTTATTTGGCTTGGTTCATTGTGTTTAGCATATTGTGAAATTTTCTTTATTGATGGGAGCACATCCACAATGAGTGTCTGTGCAAACTGCTTCTGTATGAGTGTTAGTAATTTCAGTTCAATTGTGGCTTTAGATGCTAAAGTCCTTGAAGGTCAAGAAGTTCATTGTATCTGCTGTCACCAGCGTAATGGAGACCTGGCCCAAGGGGTTTGGCTTTGAACCCATGGAATACGATGACAGACATAGTTTGAGCATAGTCAATTTCATGGTGTTTCCAGGATCTGTATGGCTGAAGAAGCCTTTGTACCAGAGCAACATGGATTCAGAAAATGGTGAGGATTCTTTATATTTAAGATTTGTTCATGCTTGTTTGAAGAGCATGTTTGGCTAATCTTAAAAGTGAGAAAAAGTAATACACCTAAACATATTGGGAAAGGAAGCTAAGGCAAGCATGCTCTTTATAACTTTTCTATTGTTTAAAATGAAGGATCTCCTCTTTCTAGTAAGATTGAGAAATAACATTTGTATATCAGGACCAAAAGATGCTTCAACTTCAGGAGCAAATGAATCTGGACCTGCTCACTCTCAGAATTTGCAATCACGTGAGCAACAAGATCCCGGTATTTCGTCTGATGAACAATAGGGCATACGACTACGATCAGGCAAGATCTGTCTGTTCAAAAAGCCAAGACTGAGAAAGAAATCAGAAACGATAACTATGTTTGCAATCTAGTGAAAAACAAGATTGTCGCACTTTCTGACTTTCAAGACTAACTATGTATCGCAAATGAAATGCTTTATCTTTCAGGAGGTAGCCAACTTGAAGTAGTTCCTTGTAGAGAGACCAAGGAGAGAACCACCTAGACAGAGGCAATTGTTTGTAAATTTGTGTTAGACCAGAATGTAAAATCAACTTCTTACCATGAAATCAAAGCTGCAAACGCATTTTGAATGACAGTTCAAAATAAGTTTTTCTTTCATCTTATTGCAAGCGATTTTTCTTCTGTTTCACTAGTTTTATTTGCTTTTATATACCCCCATACAAAGAAGAATAATGCTATTCAACTGCAGTGATGATGGTGATGAACAGCAGCCAGCCGGAATGGTATTAGTGTCAGATTATTCAATAAATAAAAATGCATAACTGCATTTGACAATATGGTAGCGGTATCACTACCCCATAGACTAATGTTCATCATCACAATATGATTACTCAACTAAGAACCACATCACCCCAACCAACCTACACGCCTGACATTGGCATCTAAAATGCCTCTTTTTGTCTTTTTTTATTAGGAGGGATGTTTTCTATTTCAGTATCCCAAGGATTTTTTCTATAACACTTTTACTGTGTTGATGGAACATAATAACTATAAGGAGATTAATTATAACAAAACCCAATCAAGCATATTAGTAATGAATCCCACAAAAGGGGCTTACTGATTGGAAAAAAATCATCTTGTTGATTTTTGTTGTATTACTAGTTTTATCATTAAGTACATTTGTTAGTTACGATCAACAAAATAAAACTATACTTTTATGCCATGAATATGCTTAGTTAGATATGAAATTAGATCACCAAAGTTTCTTCCCTGTCAAGTTCCATGCTCCCTATGGTTTTGTTCTATCCAATCTTCTCTAATTTCAACTATTGTCATACTTAAAAAATGTAAACAAACTTTGGATCATAGTTTGATACGAATTTACAGTACAGAGTTAGCTTTGAAGAATAAACTGAAATGTACAGAATTCAACGCCATGTAACCAGAAAAAGAAGCTTCAATTTCAAAACCTCAATCGAAAATCTCAATCACTGGGTATCTAATCCCTTTTTAAATCCTTTAGATTACCCAAAAAATCAAATATCAGTGAATTGGAAAATTCTACTCAAATCATTTTGTGCTCGTCCATCTTCCTACAGCCACTGATCAAAGTTCTAGATATTATCTCCTCATTTGACTACTTAGGCTTCATCAAGATTTAGCGGCAGATTTTATTTTCAAGTACTTAATTTTTTAGGGGAATTTATGTCTTTGGCGAGAATAGGGTTTTCGTCTTAGATTTTTAGTATTTAAACTCTCATGTAGCTTTATCGTCATTTGGTTGTTTATTAAATAAAATTTGGTTGCTAAATGATATAAAAAAAAAAAAAAATTGTAGACATCCATCGACTAATTCATTGTTGCTGATGACTACATCAACATAAAGGGAAACCTTCTTCGACCAATGTTCTTAGCTAGATCTACGCATTTAGCGATCAAGTCTTGGACGTTGTAGGTTTACCTTCTACGACCAAGGATTAATTGGTAGCTAGATTTATGCATTAACCGTCCAAAATCTGGTCTGTATTATTATAACCTTATCGACCAAACGTTGGTTTATGAAAGGTGAGCTTTAGCTACCAATTTTAAGGTGGTCACTTAATCCCTATGTACATAGCAACCACTTCAAGAGAAATATAAGGTTGCAGAATGTTGAAGCTTATAGCGACCATAGTGAGTTGGTCACTAATGTCCTTCACCGACGGTGAATTAGTGATCATCCTTCGACACGATTGTTTGGTCAGTAAATACGTTCAGTGACCAGAATATAGATTTTAGTGACTAATTTGTTTGGTCCTTGTAAACGTTTTCTTGTAATGTTTGAGATTCTTCTCATAACAATATCAAATTTTTGTTTTCTTGAGAATAAACGAATTTTTAATTAACGAATTCCCAATATTCATAGAATCAATGGGTTTTTAAATTTATCGGTGCAATTCTCGCTTTGCTATTGTACCAGTTTGTATCAGTTAGGTGTCCTCAAATGGATTAGGAAATGATACGAGAAGAAAATGTATAGGTTTCCTATTCCAAATAGGATTAGGGTTTGCATTTCGTATAAAAACTTGAATTGAAGAAATAATACAATAAATCAAATCTATATTTCAATTTCGTAAGAAAGTGATTTTGATCTCAATTAGATTAAACTTGAAATCTCTTCCATTCTCCAGGGAGCGGCACAATGTTACTCATCCGGCCAAGTTTTTTTTTTTTGGTTTTCTTGCAGAAATCGATTTTGGTTTGAAAATTAGACTTCTAGATTAGGGTTACGAATTGAGCCCTTAATTGCTATTTAAGAACCAACAAGGAGAATAATGCAATAAAATTAATCAAGCCGGTTTTAATTTATTTTAATCAATCGTTTTATTTTTCATGTACTTAATTGTTAATTTAATTAGGGATATTTACGCCTTATGCGAGAAAAGTTTCTTCCTACATTTTTAGTATTTAAACTCTCATTGTAACTTTATTGTCATTTGGTTTTTATTAAATATGAAATTTATGAGTTTGACCCAACTAACACCTAGAGGGGGATGAGTAGGTGTTTGTATGCAGAATTTAAACTTGTTAATTGATAACAGTAGCAAATTACAATTATTAATTTAATCCAGATTAATTCACATGCAATATTATCATATGTTGAACTATTACAGTTGATATATTGCATGAAAGTAAACAATACCACGAAATAATTGACGGAGAAAATCCCTTGCGGGATAAAAACTTCGAGTCCAAGAAAGTAGTATCCACTAGACTTAATACTTCAAGTCCAAGCCAGTAGTATCCACTGTATAGACTAACTAAACCTTGGTACATTCTAACGTCTTGTCTGTAATCACCACGGCCCTCTTGCACTGCGCTTTCCAGCTTTAGCTCCCGACCTTTTATACCTTGTAGATCACACAAGAACTCATGTTCTCCTTCAATCAGAACTCCGGTCACCTTTCTTGATGTTCAGAATTCTGACAGATTATGCGAACGTTGGATTTTGGTGTTTTGATTATATGAATTTGATGTTTTCAATAATTTTGGTTGAATCAAGGAGATTGAATAAAATGTAGGATGTGATAAATGTAATTTCTCAGATAAAATAATATTCAACCGAGTATCTTCACGAAGTGAGACTTGAGTATTTATAGTATTTAGGTTTAGGGGTAGTATAGGATAGGTAGGATTACAGCGAGAGTCCAGCGATAGCAAGAGTCCAGTGATAGGCAAATGCCAAGTGCTCCGCTCAAGCGATTGGCTCGAATGTGTTTTGGATGCAGGCTAGCAGAAATCCAAAACAAAAATCCGACAACTTTTTTTGCTTGTTCAAAACTAAACACAAGGACTCCTAAACCATTTATACAACCTACCAATTTACTCATTCACTTTTAAAACTCTTTTACAACTGTATTTTGTCTAAAGATTTCCAAAAAAATATAAAACCTAACAAACTCCGCCTTTGGCATTATGTGACAAAACATATATTACGAATCAAAGAAAATCAAACTAAACTACCCAAAACCAACTGATTCAACTAAAGCTTGTTGTTTCATTTCTTGTCAAACATGTTTCTTGACATAACAACTCAAATACCAAGCATAAAAGCATGTGAAACAATAAAAGAAATAAAAGTTGTTGAGATAGTTATCAACATGCTCAAAATCATGCTAGCTAAATTAAGATGCAATATCAATGTTAATCAATACACCAAAAACAAATATCGATATCACCAAATATCAAAACTTAATCCATCTAAGCGAAAAATATAAACATCTATAGAAAATTGACCATATGCATCTACAACATACTATTATTTAACTTACTCAGTAACAGCATTATCTTTATCGGTCCCCTCATCGAAATCACCATCAACATCCCAATGTCGCTTGATCCAAAGCAATCGTAGCTGAAGATAGCCGACTGCACCTCGAATTGTGGCGAACTATGTTGTGTGGTGGTTAGTGGTGGCTCTCAGCTGTGTTTTTACCGCCATCATACGAGTCTGCTGCTCGATCAATACATACATCTATCCTATAAGTAGTACTTAAGAATCAACGGAAATAAAAGTAGATGGTGGAATAGGATCAACAGGTGGTGGTGATGGAGCACAAGTAGAAGACGATGGAATGTCAGTGGTAAAGGTAGGAATAACAGATCGAGATGGATAAATATCAGATGGATCAACAGAAAGCAGATCACCAATAGGATCTTCGGCATAGTCGGATCCACTGGCTCAGCCGGCTCCGAAGTAGTATGAGATCTACTCTTTGAAATAGTAGTATGGCCAATAGGCCTGGAAACCTTTTCATAGTCTCATTTGGAAAGTTAGCCCCAAAAACTGTCACGAGCCGATGAATTAGACGAGCATATGGAAGACCAATCCTAGTACCAATCACATGAAAGGTACGTAAAATCTGATGGCATATGAAAGTAGGAAGATCTATTGAGTTACCATGTAAAAGAGTACAAAGAAATCTGGCCTTATCCATGGGTAAGGAAGAGGTATGGAAAACTAGCCACGAATTTGCGTAAACAATGCGTAACAAAATATGTCGATCAATCGAAAGGGATCCAATACGAATTGTAGTCGATCTCCCTCCCAAAGGACTGTTAAAAAGTGTTGATTGGACAATAGAGTCCACGGTGAGGATCTCAAATGACAAATAGGGGAATAATGGATAGACAACCCGGGGAATATGGATAATATTGGATATGATATCATTACTGATCTTAAGTGTCTTACCCCTAAGAAAGATCCTAAAACTCAACCCACTAATATCTTGAATATTAGCATAGAACTCTTGGACAAGGAGACAAGGCAAAGGAGACAACCCAACAAATAAAGGCTCCCATCCACGCGAAGCGGAGACGGTAGCGAGATTAGA